AGTGCTCTTTACTACTGAGCTATTTCTCCAGCCCTCTCTCAGTGACATTTTGAATCATGAAAAACAGAAGACTCATATTGCAAACTGCAGTATGAAAGAGGGGAAATTATTATTGATGGCCTTTATAGAAATATAAAGATCCTAAATAAATACTGTCAATAGTTGTATGTCAACAGAATAGATAATTTAGATGAAATGAACAACTACAACAAAGAAATAAACTACTGAAGTTCAGATGTATAAATTCTGAATAGACCTCTAGTGAGTTAAGTTAGTGAACCAAGATCTCTCTACAGTGGGAAGCTCATTGCATGGCTGTCGTTGTAAAGTATATCATAGATGTAAAGAAACTGTGAGAAGGACACTTCTCAGATTCTCTTTGGGAACAGTATTAACCTTATATCAAGAGAGAGATCACAAGAATACTAGCATCCTTTATGAATAGTCGATATTAAAACAACCAAAAACCATCTATACACTCAGTGCAATTCTCATCAAAATCCCAACACATTCTTCACAGACCTTAAAACAACAATATTCAACTTCAGATGGAACAACAACAACAAAAAACCAAAGTAGCTAAAACAGTCCTATACAATAAAGGAACTTTTGGAGGCATCACAATCTCTGACTTCAAACTCTACTATAGAGCTATAGTAATAAAAACAGCTTCATATTAGCATAAAAACAGACACATGGACCAAATTGAATCGAAGACCCAGAAATTAATCCACACACCTATGAACACCTGATTTTTGACAAAGAAACCAAAATGGTACAATGGAAAAAGGAAAGCATCTTTAACGAATGGTGGTGACATAACTGGATGTCAACATCTTCATGCAAATAGATCCATATCTATCATCATGCACAAAACTCAAGTCCAAGTAAATCAAGGACCTCAACATAAATCTAGCTACATTGAAACTGATAGAAGAGAAAGTTTGAAGTAGCCTGGAACACATTGGCACAGGAAAACCACTTCCTAAATATAACACCAAGTATCACAGACACTGAGAGCAACAAATAATAAATGGGACCTGCTGAATCTGAAAAGCTTCTGTAAGGCAAAGGATATGGTAAATGAGACAAATAGACAGCCTACAGAATGGGAAAAGATCTCCACCAATCTCACATCTGACATAGGACTAATCTCTAAAATATTACAAAGAACTCAAGAAACTAGATGCCAAAATACCAAATAATCCAATTTTAAAAATAGCCGGGCGGTGGTGGCGCACCCCTTTAATCCCAGCACTCGGGAGGCAGAGGCAGGTGGATCTCTGTGAGTTCGAGGCCAGGCTGGACCGACAGCCTCCAAAACAATACAGAGAAACCCTGTCTCGTAAAACCAAAAAAAAAAATGGGGTACAGATATAAACAGAGTTCTCATCAGAAGAAGCTCAAATGACCAAAAGACATTTAAAGAATTGCTGAATATCGTTAATCATCAGGGGAATGTAAATCAAAAAGGCTCTGAGATATACCATTTTATACCTGCCAGAATGGCTAAGATCAAAAATACTTAGGACACCCTATGTTGGAGAGGATGGGGAGTAATGGCAGCACTCCTCCACTGCTGGTTCGAGTGTAAACTGTTCAGCCACTTTGGAAATCAGTACAGTGGTTTCTCAGAAAATTGGGAATCAATATACAACAAGATCCAGCAATATCACTCTAGCACATATATCCAAAGAATGCACACTCATACCACAAGGACAGTTGCTCAACAATGTTCATAGCAACACTCTTTGTAATAACCAGAATATGGAAACAACCTAGATGCTCCTCAGCTGAAGAATGGATAAAGAAAATGTGGTAATTTACATAATGGAGTTTTACTCAGCTATAAGAAATAATGACATCATGAAATTTGCAGGCAAATGGGTTGACAAGATTTATCTGTAGTGTACAGTGCTGTTGGATTGCCTTTTCCTTGTAATAGAATGTCCTTCAGCATAAGAGTCAAGTTTTTCAATTCCTATGCCCCAGCTTCGTTAACTTGACACAGCTTGGAGTCACCTGAGAGGAAATCTCAGTTGAGAAATTGCCTAGAACAAACTGGCTTGCGGGCTTATCTGTGCAGGGCCATCTTTTGGCACAGGAAGGCCATCCCACGGTGGGCAGTGCCAATTTAGCCAATTTGCCCTGGGCAATATGGTGAAGTGGTAAGCCTGTAAGCAAACCAAGAGAGGAAGCCAGTAGGCAGGGTCTCTCCACAGTTTCTACTCTAAGTTCTTCCAGTTTCTCAACAGGCCTGCTGCATCAGCCTGTTCTGCCCATGAGTTTCTGCCCTGATTTCCCTCAGTTATAGACTATGAATTGGAAGTAAGATAAAATAAACCTTTCCTTTTGTAACTTGCTTGTTGTCAGTGTTTTATCACACCAGCAGGGTGAAACTGGAATATCCCGTCATTGACTGCATATGATATTCCAGTCTAGGTCTTTGCTGTCATTTCAGTAATGTCACAGCATCTCTACCAGAAGTGGGCTTCATCTTCAGAATCCGTATTCTTTTGACACACAAATAAGACAAACTCATGTTTGTATGATTTTGTCCTGAGTATAACAGGACATAACAAATCAGCCCTGTCTTTCTGGCTCCATTTCTGATTCATTTATTTTGATTTTCATATCACATCATTGAAATCATAAACTCCTTAGAGTCTTCCATGAAAGCTGGAACCCACTTCTTCCAAACTCACAATTAACTTTAACTGTGCAGTTACAATGGAGAGGCAAACAAGGACTTGACAGTGGGAAACAGGCCTCACACATAGCTAAGGAATATAATCAGTAAACTAGGACCTTTTAATGCAGAACAGGTATTTACACAGAGCTGGGGAGTGTAGTCAGTAAAACTCCAAATGCATGGGAGAAATCGTTCCCAGTAAATGATCAGATAGTGCTGAATTGTGGGAAGTAAACCCAAGTTTGTTACAGAAAGGAATAAGCTACAGGAAGAATCTACAGCAAGAAACAGCCACTTTATTCGTGAGATTATAATGCCATGTACAACTTTGTACTGTTTTCATCCATCAGGAAAATCCTTAATTCTTCTGTGTTGTCTTGTGGCTTGTAGAACTTTGAGGTTTTTTTTAAATCTCGTGATTATCAATTGTCCTAGGGAAGCCTTTCCAGAAGGTTCCCACTTTACTTTGCTCAAATCCACCAGTGAACCATTATTTTATTTCATATTTCTCCTTGAATTTATAGTTTCAGTCTGATTTTTCCATAAAAGTTTACTCATGTTAGGTTTTTATACTTAGAATTTTTTTCTGGATCATAATTTTTATTTGCAAGAAAAACTACAAATTGAAATGAAATATGTTATCACATGTTAAACATATTTTAAAATGATTTATACTAGGTAATAATTAACAGTTTATTAGAAGCAAAATGATGTTCAAATTCTAAAAAAGAATTTCAATTTCTCAGACATGTTAAAATATTTTGTGTGGTTAGTGATTATACTGAGTCTTGGAAATTTTTTGTTAAAAGCAAAGGCTTTTAAAAGACATAATTGCTTCATGATTATTCATTGTTTTTCTTATGTTCTTGGAATGTAAAAAGACCTTGCCATCTCATATTGAATTGTTTTTGATCATACCCCGAGGAACCTTGGTTGACCTAAGAGAGGATTATGAAAATTGAATTTTTGGTACACCATTGCAATGCACATTTTAAAATTAAAGTTCCTTCCTGTGCTTTAAATAAAAAAAATCATCAAAACTTCAGAAATGCAGACTTAATTCACTGGAAATAACTACTGAATAAATTGATTGGCAAGGCTTGTTCTTAGTGTCAAGCTATTCATCCTTACATATAAAATTCGTGCCTACCTGCTGATGGAAGAGGCAAGAGTTCTGACAAACAGTTTTAGTATTTGAACTCTAAATATTTAGATAGCCTGGGTGGCATGAGCCTTCTAGAGTAGAACACAGGGAAGGTGTGCAACCATTACTCAGAAGAAGAAGGGTGTGTCCTGGAAGCTGGGGTTCTGTGTATGTGCTGCTGTCAAACTATCAGTGAAATACTTGTACTCTTTATCTTTGGGAGCATGTGCTTGAGTCATTTTGACAGCTGTGGTTCAGATCCCACCTCTGCCATTTATGAGGCAATAAAGTAGCTTTGGAAAGCATACCTGTAAAACTGTTGTGTCCAGACATGAATGCTACTGTTTGCTCACTTGCATTGCATACTGCCAGAAGTGCTCCACACCTTTGAGAGGTCTGCAGCCCTGTCCTGCATGTGGCAGAGTGCTTTTGGTTCTTCAGTGTCTTGACAGGGTTTATTTCTCAAGTGAGCAGCTCTGCAAGATGAAGTGGCTTTGGAGCCATACTGAGGTTTTGCTTATTGCATTGGAAGATGGAGGCCATGCCCTGAAAGGGGCAGATATTCTTTGTGCATTTTCAGGGATTCCCACTCCTTAGTCTTGGAGGTTCATGGTAGAAATCAGCCCACTGCATATACGAATGTCATTTGCCCCAGTCAGCTTGTGGGAGCTGCAACTCAGGGAGCTGGTTCAACATAGTGTTAACATTCTGGCTCCTCCTGTTACCGTAAGCACAAATTCCTGTTTATATTACTGGGAAGTCGTTTTCTCTACTGATAAGATGGTCTGTCCGCTTCAAAGTGAATAAATCTGAGGCCCCTCAGTGTACTTAAATGTAAGGAAATACAAACATTAATTCAGCTCAGAAATGGCATTTTAGTCCTTGTTTTAAATTTAAAACCATATTATATATCACCTGTATAAATGCAATATCATATTGCAGGTTGTTGTCTGGGTTAAAATAAAGGTTTAACGTAACTTTAGGATCCATACATTTTAAAGGCATAATAAACCATGTGTCTTTCTTATGTTAAAATTGTATTATCACACACACATTGACAACACACATTCAAAAGCAGATCAGTTACTAACTCTACTTACCCACATTTTAAAGAATAAGTCTTAATTCTGTAATGTCATTATGATATATTTTCCTTTTTTCTAGAATATTGGGAAGAAGATGACCTGTCAGGAGTTCATTACAAATCTCCAAGGAGTAAATGAAGGTGTGGATTTCTCCAAGGATCTTCTGAAAGTAAGCACAGGACTGTTGGTTTTCAAACAGCCTTATGTTTATATTTACTTCTAATTTAAGCCAATGATTGCTTGAGGTTTTAAGTTTTTTGTTTGGGATTTTATTGGTGGCATTTCTATAGAGCCTTGATTTTGGTGCTTCAGATTACAAGGTTTACTAAAACAGTAATTTCTAATAATCTGTATCATGGCAGGTAATGTAGAGAGAATAAGAAGATGATGAATAGTTGGTGATGCCTCTAGTTAGTGAGTGGTTTTTGTCTTACACGGGTATAGTTATTTTAAAAACAAGCATTTGCAGACTTCTGGAGGCATGTATGACAGTGTTCATTCTCAACCACAGGGGCACTCATCTGCCTTTCAAAATAGATGAAATCTCAAGTGATTGTGAAGTGATTGAATTATTTGCAATTGTCATTATTATTTGTAACATTCCATCATGTTTTCATCAGATTGTTTTCAAGGAGACAAAATCAACAGATAAACAGATTTTCCAGCATTATTTTGTTTTTTTTTTTTTGGTTTTTGTTGTTTTTTGTTTTTTGTTGTTTTTGTTTTGTTTTGTTTTGTTTTTTTGGTTTTATGAGACAGGGTTTCTCTGTATTGTTTTGGAGGCTGTCGGTCCAGCCCAGCCTCGAACTCACAGAGATCTGCCTGACTCTGCCTCCCGAGTGCTGGGATTAAAGGCGTGCGCCACCACCGCCCGGCAATTAAGATCCATTGATGAAATATGAAATAATAATTGCTGTGGAATATGAGTATTTTAGAAATAGGGTATAAGATATGTATGTTGAGAATGTGAGTTTTACAGATCTCTGTTCAATCCTGGTCTTTCCTTTAAAACTTGGTACACACAGTTTTCTTTTGGAATCAGTTACTTTGGAAGAATTGCCTAAGAATGATAGCACATATGAGTCATGCTTTGAGATGGAAATGTGCTTGTTGAGAGAGGCGTCTGTCCTTCATAATAGTTTATGTAACATTTAGTCTATGTATGTGGTGCATGCTTAGCTAGGGCTGTAATGACAAGCCACATTTCCAGTCCTGTGTAACATGTCAAGAAAGGGTGGACTTCTGCCACATTTGGAGAGACAAACTATGGAAAATTAAAGAAGGCATTGAATATAGTACTATCAGACTCCAGAATATAGTGACTTGAATACAACTGATTTAAGAGTTATGTTGTTATGTTGTTAAAAAATACAATGTTTCTTGTAGTTTTTGATTTACTATATAACAAGATTTTTAAAATTAAAATATAATAGCATTCTTTCTTCCTCTTTCCAAGTATTTCCACCTCTTGTTGTCCCTCCACATCAGGGCCTCTTTTTCTTTCGTTGTTATTGTTATGTGAATGCAACCTGTGCATTTCAGTTCATGCTACTTGTATGTATGTGATCTGGATTTTTAGGGCTGGCCACTTTTACTTGATAACCAGTTACGGGCTCATTCCTGGGGAAGACTAGCCATTCTTTAGTTATCTGCAATTCTTTTTCTATGGATGTGTTCCTATGAGATTTTTCCTGACTGCGTTACCATACTAAAGAAGTCCGACAAGATATTTTTTAAAGGGTGCTTCCTTATTGAGTAGATGCTGCGATTTCTAAGAGTACACTTTCAAATTATAATGGGAAATCGAGGGTACAAAATTGTGACATGCTCAATGTGTTGTGCACATTCTATTAAAGCTAGAGTGTTAACAACTCTTTTTGTTTTTGTTTCTGTGTGTGTGTGTGTGTGTGTGTGTGTGTGTGTGTGCGTGTGTGGTGGTAGTAGAGAAGAAAATGATAGTCTTTCCAAGGGAGAGCTTGTGAGCTTTATATCAACTACATGAGAAAGGGAAATTGACAGGACAATATCTAGCTATGTAGTATTAATTAAAAAGCATTTAGATATTAGTAGTAAGCATATGGCTGCCTCCATGGCTGCATGTATGTTGTACAGTGCTGTCCACATTGGCTAAGCATACTGTTCTTGTTGTACTCTACAAGCATTGGTCTGATGCTTTGTGAAGTCCTGCAGCTATAATCATGGCTATGAACCTCGGGGAGAGACTCTTATTTGGTGTTTGTTATTTGCTATTGTAAGAATCCAGTGACTGGAAATAATAGTGGCATTTAGTGTGGCAACTGTCATGTGAAATATATAATTCCTTTTAGTGTAGCCCTCTGCCGCTCATCCATTAAGGTAACATTTTTGTTTTTGTATAATAGGAATGGTGTCTACTGTCGGTTTCAGGTAAAGAAAGGTTTTCTTGAAAGCAGTGTCCCTTTGTAACATTGTTGAGGGTTCAACCTTTCCCTACCTTCTCCTCTTCTTTCCTGCTTCAATTTTTAAATTCTTTGATATTCTGCTTTCTTTTTTTTTTAGTTATCTTTTAATTTGGGAGAAAACTTCCATTATGTGTATACCATACAGATTAACACAAAAATGTATGTTAGCATCTCATAACTTCTGAGTAACTCTTTTATCTCCCTTCACCCTATTTCCAACCTGTAATGACAGGCATTGCCATTACTGGCATAATATAATGATCTATAAAATGGCAGGTGGTCATGACATTGGGAGATTTTTAAAAAGTGTGGTAAGAGTGAAAATAAGATTTTGAATACATTTCTTTTTTATCATTTTTTATTTTAATTTTAGCTTGTTTTACATGTCAATCCCAGTTCCCTCTCCCTCCCCTCCTCCCGCACTCCCCTTCCCCCCCCACCCTATTGCCAAATCCTTCCACATAGGGGATATCTAGAGTCTGTCACTTCACTCTGGGTAGGGTCCAGGCACTCCCCTAAGAGTCCAGGCTGAGAGAGCATCCCTCTTTGTGCTATAGGCACACGATGACTGTTTGTTGAATACATTTCTTATAAAAATACACTTCTTATAAAATGTAAGTTACTGTATTAATGGTCAGAAATGCTTTAATCTACTTTATTGAACTTAGTATTATTATGTTCTTTCACACTGGCCTTAATTGTTTTTAAATCTCTGTGGTTCAGAAGTTGCATTTAGAATTTTATTTCTTCAATTTTCTTTGGACCAGAAGTAACATTTCTACCTAAATCTGATTATGTGTGGTTGCTTAGTTGGAGACATTTTTTAAAGGTTTAGCATGTGTTCACCAGCTGGTGTAGGACTCAGAAAAGATTCTGGAAGCAAATGTACACATGTCCTCAGAGATCACATACCGCTCAAAAACAAGGAGGATTTACTTCAATTTGAGCAATTCTCCAATATTAGGATGGAAGTGGATAGTCTATTCTGCTTTATCTGAATAGATGTAAGAAAACCACACCGTAATATATTCGTGTAAGGGAAAGGAGAAATGTACCTCTGTTCTTTACTTCAGAGATTGTACAATCTTCCTCTGTCCTGCCTTCCACTCTGCTGACAAGACAGATGACAAAGCTGGGCCTTTTCTATAATTGCCATTGTAGTTCTAGCTGTTTCTTCAATTACTTGACAAGGAATTTGAGTGTTTTGACAAATACTTTTCCCCATAATTTATTTAGAGTAAAAGTTATAGACATCTATAATCCAAAGTGAAGAAAGTTAGATGCAGGAAGACAGCCAGAAGTAGATCATTTATTTACTTTCTTCAAAGGAGGTAGTGAATTTGATGCTCAATTAGAAGCCTTATTTTTCATTCAAGCTTCTATACTGTTTCATTTACTACCTTCTGTAAACAGTCTCAGTATGTTTGCTTTAGGATGGGTTTAAATGCTTTATTTCATTAAGGAAAGATTACTACTGAATTTAAATTATTATAGATTTATTTGAGCAGATTCTCAATAAATTTCTTAATCAGATGCATTTGTTTTTTTCTTGCTTTCTCCAATGACAGAGTTTAGGCATGATCCTTTTAGGGGTTTCCAGAACTCCATGAACTTCTGTGTCCATTCCTTTATAGATGCTTTATAGATACACACTTTGTTTTCAATGTAATTTCTGATGTAGCATTCTTTTAAGTAGATGTGCATTCTAATGATGATGGAAAATCGGGCAGAAAGTCCTAAACCTTAAACAGACTCAAAGCTCAACAAAGAGAAATGAATTTTACATCAAGATTAATGCACTTTCTTGTGCAAACAAAAAGACACAATTAGAGAATAAGAACTTACATGATGCAGGTTCATGACCATTAGCTTTTTAATCAGGATGACTGTCTGTAAGGGTAAACAAAAACAACTCAGAAACAGTCTGGAAAGTTAGAGATAAAATATTTTATAAGTTCAAACTCCACAGAGGACCTGTTAATAGAGAGTTGACAGCAAGAACTATGAAGATTCTTCTAGAAAAGCAAAACTAAGCAAGCCTACCTTACTTCCCCAGTTCTATCTGGCCTCTAGTTTGACCCATTCAGCAGGAGACAAGACTGCAAACATGACACTGACAAGGTGCCCTGCTCTTCTCTGTTTCCTGCCAAAAGGTTGACCTCAAGCAGCAGGAAGTCTTCTCTTTTCCTTGTCTCCACACTCTCTTTGTTTGCCCTTCCCCCATTGTGTTTGATTTTACAGTTACCAATGAAAGCAAGTATAGTTGGGGAAATATGGATGAGACCAGATTTTGTTATTCTTGTTGTTATGTTATATTATTATTTTACAAATATTAACATTGAATGGGACCATGTGAAGGTATAAGAAATCAATTATTTCTCTGTCTCAAAAAATGAAGTTTTAATGAAAAAATAATGAGCAGGCTTACTAAAAGGAAAAGGGGGGGCAGCTCTCCCTATTCAATCAGATTAGGCATCATAATAAATTAGCTTTGATGAAACTTTACTGCTCTTCGTGACTCTTTCGAAGTATTGAATATCATGTAACATAGCTCAGATACCACTAGCAATATTAAAAACAATGAAACAGTCATTGCCTTATAACAAACCTTATTAACTTAGGACGTAATAAGCACAATGGTTGAGTAGATCCTGCTTTCCTTCTTACATGGATTTAACTGTGTATTTAGATATTTCTTAATTATACAGAAGTAATTCAGTCTTTAGAA